GAAAACTTTGGAAATTTTTACATAGATGACTGTTAAGATCCAAAATGCATTTTAGAAATATCAGCAAGACTGTTTTCTAACAGTTTACTGCTAATAATTTTTTTCTTATGAAATGTTTATCTAATGATTGAATAGAGTAACTGATGGAAATAAAGATGATCGTAGAACAAATAACTAAAACTGTGGTCCCTAGGCCAGAAATTTTCTTCATAGGAAAGAAGTAGGAAATATATTTTTGTTTGTTTGTCTCTATTTCTTTTGGTTTGCTTATTTTGTTCAAAGATACACACATGGGATCAAGTTCAAAATCAAAGAACATTTTGAACCTGCCCCCTACATAACACATACCACATTTCTACTTGTTTTCTTCTGCATCTATCTACATGTAAGGCCAAATTAACTAAAGAAATACAATCAATTTCTCAGTATTAAGTTTACTGCTTCATAGTTTTACTACCTAACACAGTACCTGGCATAGAGTAGGCATTAGATATAAGAAATTGAATGAATGAGACAATACAGTAATAAGGCTGTAGCTCAGCAATTCTTTAAAGTTCCACAAATGGGACTGACCTCAGAAATTCCATAAGGATACATTCCAGTACATACTCAAGTCGTCCACATCAGAAGAAATAGTGGGAGACAGTCTAGTGGTAATAACCAGAGCTGGGATCACTTTTAATGCTCTTAACTATTTCTAACATCTCTATTAATACACAGAGCATTTCTTGATTTATCTTTTTGAAACATGTATTCAATTCCTGGGAAGATAGATGAGAGATTTGGCTGTTATATGACCTCAACACCTTGCCTCACCTATTCTCCTGTATAATTATTTTAGTTAAATGAGTGAAGAATATTTTCATAATTAAGCCTGCATATATTGTACACTACGGAGCCAAGACTTTCAGTTTTATTTCTTTTCATTTATCATTTTACTTTTTGGTTTTCATAGTGTTGCTTCTTGCATTTCTTTTTTCCTACACTGTATGCCTTTGTCATATTTCTTTTTTCAAACTGTCATATCAGAAAATTCTGTCATATGGCCTTTCCCCCCAAGATGTCTTTCCATTTTTCCTGCTTCAGTTAGGACTAGTTGCTTTCCAGGTCTGTTGCTCCTGGGCTGCATCCACTTCTCCTGGTTCCTATGTCTCTCTCTTTCTTGATTTCTGGTGTCACTAAAGCTACTTCCTAATGTTAGATGTAAGAGAATTAAAATTTCTGAGCTCTTACATGTGTGAAAATTTCTAAAGGATAATGTTTACATAAAGTCTAAAGTAACTGCTAGGCCACTATTCAAATATATGTGTAATAAAATAATTGCCTTCTCTTAGCTCCTTTCCCTTAACCAGTTTGACTGAATTATGAGCAAAATACTAGAGAAATGATAACTACTTTTCAAGATCATAAAAATGACTTGGAATCTCATTTATTAATAATCTTGGGATTCAAATTTTAATTAATATTGAAGCTTTTATTGTATATTAGAAATCATTTTCTCTGGAAATGGTTTTTGTACCTATTATGCATAAATATACACTTGTATTATATACCTAAACTAATTTGCACTTAAAAATAGTTGCCTCTGGGCTTCCCTGGTGGCACAGTGGTTGAGAGTTCGCCTGCCGATGCAGGGGATGCGGGTTCGTGCCCCGGTCTGGGAGGATCCCACGTGCCGCGGAGCGGCTGGGCCCGTGAGCCATGGCCGCTGAGCCTGCACGTCCGGAGCCTGTGCTCCGCAACGGGAGAGGCCACAACAGTGAGAGGCCCGCGTACCGGAAAAAAAAAAATAGTTGCCTCTGACTCTTCCTCTTGTTCCCATTGGTTCCCTCCTCCCCAATACTGCTGCTGAGAGAATGAGTGTAGGAAAAATTTTGGAGCTTTTAAAGAACTATTTAGAAGGGAAGAAAGTCAAGGAACTTGAAAGCAGAATTAATTTAGAAGGCTAACCCTGGAAACACTTGTATATGTAGTGATTCCCAAGTCATCTTATTATATTTCAAGTCACACTTTATTAAAGTTATGACACTCCACAGATGAAAATTTCATTTGGGTTAACATGAATTCTCCTTTAAAGATGTGATATGGCTTTTAGAGTTTAGTAAGTGGTGTCAGTTCTCCACACTTTAAAGAGAATTACCTCCCACCTTCACCCCCCTCGATGTTTCTCTAATATCTAGCTGAGGTCAGTAGCACTGGGGCAGAGAAAGTAAAGATAATTTTAGTGAATGGTTCAGCAGACTCAGGGCAATGCCAAGGCACCCAAAATGTGTATCAAGCTAATGTGACTCTGGCGTCAGTATTAGGAGGCAAAATTTGTCAGGTAAACCCACGAGAAATAGAAGTGATTCTAATGGGGTAATTGATAGTTGAGGCAGCCGCTCCATCTCAATAGGATAACAGATAGTAGCTAGCGATAAACATGACCTAAACTGGCTGTGATAAGACTAAGACTTTTCCACACATTTCCAATGGCCTCCTATGACACTTAAAACCACACTCTTTCCCAGGACGTATTCGGCTCTACTGAATCAGGCATTTGTTTATTTCTTCAACCCCATTTCCTACTACCACCTTCTCAGCTCACTAAATTTCAGCCACACTGGCATTCCAGCTATTCCTTGAACATGCTAAACTTGTTCTGTCTAGGTCTTTGTACTTGGTGTTCCCTCTGCCAGGAATGCCCAGCCCCAGATCATCTGGTGTCTTTTTCATGTCATTCATGGTCCAGCTCAGAGGTCACCTCCTTAGAAATGTCTTCCAACTTAAAACAGACACTCTCCATTTCTACCAGCCCTGCTTCCTGCATTCTCTATCTCTTCACTCTGTTTGTTTTCCTAGCACTTAACCCTTTTTGAAATTGTCTTATTTTCATCTTGTTGCCTGACTCTGCCCTGAGTTTATATGTGCTTATGAGCAGGGACTTTGTCTTGTTAACTTTTTGTCCCCAGTTCCTAAAACCAAGCCTGCCCTGTAGAAGGTATTCAATAAATGTATGCCAAATGAATAACTAAATAAATGAGCTACAGAGATAATGGAGCACGAATTAAGACAGAACCTCAGTGGGCTAGTCTGAGAGGGTGGAAGGAGGCAGGGAGGGAAGAACCATGATGTAGTAGACAGTGTGTTCAGGATGGAATAAAAGCTCAAATTTGCCATTCTGTGACATGGAAAAATTACTTACCCTTGCTGAATGTCAGTTTTCTCAGCTTTGAAATGATAATCACTATTGTATGTCCAATTTAAAGATTCCATTAGGTGAAATTATGAATATATAAATGTGTATATAAAGAGAAGAGGCACAGAGAAGGTTCTCAATATATAGTAGCCATTATTACCATCAATATTGGGACAAATGAATTTTTGAATGCTCATTGTGTTGACACTGAAAAAGGGAAAGCCTAAGTACTCTCTATTCAATTTTCTTATTTTTCTAAAATATCCCTTTTTATAGGATTTATTATATGTTTATAAAAGTAACAGTAACTTTAGTGTATTTTGCATGTAAAATAAAATATTCATATAGTCTTGGTTTTCAGATGCAGCCAAATAATAAATTGGACCATAAAGTATGAATACTGTACCTAGCAATGAAATAGTTGTATACATGAATAGAAGAGACATAATGGTTGGTCATAAAATATGATTAACCTAGTTGAAACAAAAGGCCTCAGTACCTCACAAGTGGTGATCTCATTAGCGGGTTATAGGAGTTCCACATGAGTGAAGAAATCATGTATAATGGTTGTTCATTACACACCCTATTTATTCTTAGGGTGCCTTTTTTGAAGCTTGTTTTATTCTATTAAGTTTAAGCAAGAAGAGAGAAAAGTATGATATAAGAATATGCCAATTATATTTTAAAAGAATATTATTATTATAAGTTGGTTTGTATTAATCAAAAGAAACTTAACCCTTAATAATAAAATGAGTTTGGTGTGTATTCCATGTATGACCAAGCCATTTAACATTGCTTTCAAATCAAGACTTTTATGAAGCAGAACCTTTTGATGGGCTATTTCTGTTCCATCTCTCCTTTGTATTATTACCAGTATTGCTTCTATAACCCCAGTTTCACCATCACTTCCGTGACTTTGGATAGTATAATTAACCATGTTGGGCCTCAGTTTCCACGCTTGTAATATAAGAAGGACATCAATGTGGCCCACCTCATAACTCAAAACGTGACAATACTTGTGAATGCTGGAAGCACTTTAAATTACCACATGCAAACAATGTGCTATTACAGAGAACTTAGTGTAGTACCTTTTGTATAATGGGTGTTTAATAAATATTAACTGAATGGACAGAACCATTGTGATAACAAGATCAGCCTTGTTATACAGCGATTGGGAGAGTAGGACTCTGACTTACCTTTCTTACATGTATTTTATATCTGTAAGTGCCAGGTGATAAAGACAGGAAACCTACAAATGTTTACCTCATATCTTCCTCCATTAAAATATTTTGAGGATTAATATTTAGCTATCTTTCATCAATGCTGAGGGTTTTTTTGTACACAGTAGCAAATGCTTTATATTTTTCTTTAATTGAAAATTTTGTATCTTTTAAACTGGTTGTTAATAGGATTTAGTAGTTTAGTAGATTTTTAAATGTATTTTAACACACTATAATATCTGCTGAAAATGTTCATATTTGAATAAGATTTTGTATTTCGCTGTTAGACAACAATATGGTGTTATCAGAATGCTATGTACTCAAATTGTTGAGTTAAATTTTTTTAGCCCTGTTAAAATAATCACAAGAAAAATCTATGGTAGTTTATGACTCAAGGGCACAAGTAATAGACTAGGCTAATTAAATTAGTGATCAATTTTCTTTTAATCCAATGAAGTGGATTAATATAGCCTATCCATCTGATTAATTCAGGCCAAAATATTTTATTTTCTCAAAAACAAAATTTCAATCTGAACCATCCAGTTACCCCAAACCATTCCTTTAACTTGTCAGTGTGTTGCATTGGTCATTCCATCACTTACCTTTTCAACAAATTTTTGGCTGTGCGACAGAAAATACATCAGGTTCAGGAGAGTAGAAATAGTTGAGTGGTCCTTATGCTGGAAGCGGTCACAGTCTTACAGACAGTGCTAATGGAAAATAAAAAATTGTATCTAGTTAATATAGGCAAAAAGACTTTGAAGATTAATTTTCAAAATAACTACCCCAACTCAAAATATCTTCTTTGGGTTGGGCTGTTAGCTTAACTCTCCACACTGGTATTTCAAGTGGCTTCACTTAATACCTGTTTTGTAAAGGCAATATAAGGTAAGATTTGAGAGCACAGACCCTGGAGCCGGACATGTGGGTTTGAATCCCAGGTCTAATACTTATGAACTGTGCAACCTTGATCTTATTATTTAACCTCTCTGTGTCTTAGTTTCCTCATCTGCAAAATGTGGATAATAAGACTACTCACCTCACAGTTGCAAGGTTTAACAGCAGAGCACTTAGAACAGTGCCTGATAAAGTGTAAGTTATAGAAGTGTTAACTATTACCAGCAGAAATAAAATATTTATTTAAATATACCATGATCTGTGTAATTATAACATGATACATGATAACTGCATATATCATACAGATATCTATATACCTACACATACATATAGATGACAAATGAAGCAATGTTGTAATAGTAGTAAACTATAAGTTATATCTTAGATGAGGAATACACTGCTTACGTTGAGTTGGAAGAATAAAGAATAAAGAAAACCTCCTCTCTTGTTTTTCCACTAAAATTTAAAATTTACCTTTTTATAATGCATATGGCTCAAAGTGAAGTTGTGTTGATATGGACTGGCATACTTTAGTAACCATTGTTGCACTTCTTAAATAATGACGATAAGAAGGAAAGATGTAAAATCAAATAGAATATTTACTAGCCATAAACATGAATATTTTTAATAACTTGATTTCATAGGATTTATTATCTAGCACTACAACACTTAGATCTATTTATAGAGCTTAAAAAATGAGTTCTACAGCTCTGAGTCTAATTTAGGGCATATGAAAATTCTTAATGTTTTAAAAACACCTCAGAGAAATAGAGCAGCCTCCCTTATCAAAATAAAATACTAAATCTCCCAAGATTTGAGCCAGGTAATGTTTTAATTTTAATGAAATTGGCCTTTGTCCTTGAAAGGGACAAAATAAACGGATCGGCTAGTTCCTGAACGCTGCTACATCCAGAAATTTTTTTTTTTTTTTTTTGCGGTATGCGGGCCTCTCACAGTTGTGGCCTCTCCCGTTGCGGAGCACAGGCTCCGGACGCGCAGGCCCAGCGGCCATGGCTCACGGGCGCAGCCGCTCCACAGCATGTGGGATCCCCCTGGACCAGGGCACGAACCTGTGTCCCCTGCATCGGCAGGCGGACTCTCAACCACTGCGCCACCAGGGAAGCCCCAGAAATATTTCTTAATCCATGAGTAGGCCTTAGGAAAGGAAAGCAACCCTGGCAGCTAGTGGTGATAGTAAGTAAGCAGCTCTAAGTACAACATAAAGGCAAAAGGAAAAGCTCAAAAGGAGAACATCAGGACTGTTCTCACTGACAAATCTCCTTCCTGGTTCATAACTGCTAAATTCTTATTTAAGCATTGTTTTAATAGAAAGACTGTCCTTCGTAAACTTTTATTTCAATTTTATTTTTAACTACATAGAATCCATAAAAGTATTAATTATTATATTTTCATACCTTGCAGTTTTACAAAGTAGGTAATAATTCATATTCTCTATTGCTATATTAGGCTGTAATTTTTCTGGCTGTGTAATATTCCTTTAGGAGACTATATCATGATTTAGTTATTTTGTGGATAGACATTTATGCTCTAGTTTTATTTTTCAATTTTTTAACATATTTATTGGAGTATAATTGCTTTACAACAGTGTGTTAGTTTCTGCTTTATAACAAAGTGAATCAGCTACACATATACATATATCCCCATATCTCCTCCCTCTTGCGTCTCCCTCCCATCCTTAGTGTCCCACCCCTCTAAGTGGTCACAAAGCACCAAGCTGATCTCCCTGTGCTATGTGGCTGCTTCCCACTAGCTATCTATTTTACATTTCGTAGTGTATACATGTCCATACCACCCTCTCACTTCGTCCTAGCTTACCCTTCGCCCTCCACATGTCCTCAAGTCCATTCTCTAAGTCTGCATCTTTATACCTGTCCTGCCCCTAGGTTCTTAAGAAACATTTTCATTTTTATTTTTTTTTAGATTCCATATATATGCGTTAGCATACGGTATTTGTTTTTCTCTTTCTGACTGACTTCGCTTTGTATGACAAACTCTAGGTTGATCCATCTCACTACAAATAACTCAATTTCATTTCTTTTTATGGCTGAGTAATATTCCATTGTATATATGTGCCACATCTTCTTTATCCATTCATCTGATGATGGACACTTAGGTTGCTTCCACGTCCTGGCTATTGTAAATAGCGCTGCAATGAACATTGTGGTACATGACCCTTTTTGAATTATGGTTTTTTCAGGGTATATGCCCAGTAGTGGGATTCCTGGGTCATATGGTAGTTCTATTTGTAGTATTTTAAGGAACCTCCATACTGTTCTCCATAGTGGCTGTATCAATTTACATTCCTACCAACAGTGAAAGAGGGTTCCCTTTTCTCCACACCCTCTCCAGCATTTATTGTTTCTAGATTTTTTGACGATGGCCATTCTGGCCGGTGTGAGGTGATACCTCATTGTGGTTTTGATTTGCATTTCTCTAATGATTAGTGATGTTGAGCATCCTTTCATGTGTTTGTTGGCAATCTGTTTATCTTCTTTGGAGAAATGTCTATTTAGGTCTTCTGCCTATTTTTGGATTGGGTTGTTTTTTTGATATTGAGCGGCCTGACCTGCTTGTAAATTTTGTAGATTAATCCTATGTCCGTTGCTTCATTTGCAAATATTTTCTTCCATTCTGAGGGTTGTCTTTTCATCTTGTTTATGGTTTCCTTTGCTGTGCAAAAGATTTTAAGTTTCATTAGTTCCCATTTGTTTATTTTTGTTTTTATTTCCATTTCTCTAGGAGGTGGGTCAAAAAGGATCTTGCTGTGATTTATGTCATAGAGTGTTCTGCCTATGTTTTTCTCAAAGAATTTTATAGTGTCTGGCCTTACATTTAGGTGTTTAGTCCATTTTGAGCTTATTTTTGTGTATGGTGTTAGGGAGTGTTCTAATTTCGTTCTTCTACATGTAGCTGTCCAGTTTTCCCACCACCCCTTATTGAAAAGGCTGTTTTTCTCCATTGTATATTCTTGCCTCCTTTATCAGAAATAAGGTGACCATATGTGCGTGGGTTTATCTCTGGGCTTTCTATCTTGTTCCATTGATCTATATTTCTGTTTTTGTGCCAGTACCATACTGTCTTGATTACTGTAGCTTTGTAGTATAGTCTGAAGTCAGGGAGCCTGATTCCTCCAGCTCCATTTTTCTTTCTCAAGATTGCTTTGGCTATTCGGGGTCTTTTATGTTTCCATACAAATTGTGAAATTTTTTGTGCTAGTTCTATGAAAATATGCCATTGGTAATTTGATAGGGACTGCATTGAATCTGTAGATTGCTTTAGGTAGTATAGTCATTTTCACAATGTTGATTCTTCCAATCCAAGAACACAGTGTATCTCTCCATCTATTTGTGTCATCTTTAATTTATTTCATCAGTGTCTTATAGTTCCTGCATACAGGTCTTTTGTCTCCTTAGGTAAGTTTATTCCTAGGTATTTTATTCTTTTTGTTGCAATGGTAAATGGGAGTGTTTTCTTAATTTCTCTTTCAGACTTTTCATCATTAGTGTATAGGAATGCCAGAGATTTCTGTGCAATAATTTTGTATCCTGCTACTTTACCAAATTCATTGATTGGCTCTAGTAGTTTTCTGGTAACATCTTTAGGATTCTCTAAGTATAGCATCATGTCATCTGCAAACAGTGACAGGCTTACTTCTTCTTTTCTGATTTGGATTCCTTTTATTTTTTTTTCTTCTCTGATTGCTGTGGCTAAAACTTCCAAAACTATGCCAAATAATAGTGGTGAGAGTGGACATCCTTGTCTTGTTCCTGATCTTAGAGGAAATGCTTTCCATTTTTCACCATTGAGAATGATGTTGGCTGTGGGTTTGTCATATATGGCCTTTATATGTTGACGTTAGTTCCCTCTATGCCTACTTTCTGCAGGGTTTTTATCATAAATGGGTACTGAATTTTGTTGAAAGCTTTTTCTGCACCTATGAGATGAACATATGGTTTTATCCTTCAGTTTTTTAATATGGCTTATCACACCGATTGATTTGCATATATTGAAAAATCCTTGCATTCCTGGAATAAACCCCACTTGATCATGGTGTATGATCCTTTTAATGTGCTGTTGGATTCTGTTTGCTAGTATTTTGTTGAGGATTTTTGCATCTATGTTCATCAGTGATATTGGCCTGTAGTTTTCTTTCTTTGTGACATCTCTGTCTGGTTTTGGTATCAGGCTGATGGTGGCCGCGTAGAACAAGTTGGAGAGTGTTCCTCTCTCTGCTATATTTTGGAAGAGTTTGAGAAGGATAGGTGTTAGCTATTATCTAAATGTTTAATAGAATTTGCCTGTGAAGCCATCTGGTCCTGGGCTTTTGTTTGTTGGAAGACTTTTAATCACAGTCTCAATTTCAGTGCTTGTGATTGGTCTGTTTATATTTCCTATTTCTTCCTGGTACAGTCTTGGAAGGTTGTGCTTTTCTAAGAATTTGTCCATTTCTTCCCGGTTGTCCATTTTATTGGCATAGAGTTGCTTGTAGTAATCTCTCATGATCCTTTGTATTTCTGCAGTGTCAGTTGTTACTTCTTCATTTCTAACTCTATTGATTTGAGTCTTCTCCCTTTTTTTCTTGATGAGTCTGGCTAATGGTTTATCAATTTTGTTTATCTTCTCAAAGAACCAGGTTTTAGTTTTATTGATCTTTGTTATCGTTTCCTTTATTTATTTTTCATTTATTTCTGATCTGACCTTTATGATTTCTTTCCTTCTGCTAAGTTTGGGGTTTTTTTGTTCATCTTTCTCTAATTGTTTTAGGTGTAAGTTTAGGTTGTTTATT